AAAAAATACTGAAGGAACAAAACAGCAGCCGAATCACAGAACCCAGGAATGGACTAACAGTTACCAAAGGGAAAGGGACTGGGGAGGATGGGTGGGAAGGAGGGATGGGTGGAAGAAAGAAAGGGGGCATTATGATTATGTATAATGGGGGGGCATGGGGAGGGCTATGCAACACAGAGAAGACAAGTAATGATTCTACAGCATCTTACTGTAAGGTTGAAGGCACTGGGGGGAGGGGGGAGCACGTCAGATACTGATGACGTGCCAAAGTCCCTGGCTGCTGCCCCCTCCCAACCTGAAAAATGTGCCTTAGGCTAGCCAATCCTTGTGCCGCTGTAAATCTAAGCTCTGCCTCCCCCTACCTTCTTTAAAAACTTGCTGCCTGTCTACTTTTGTGTGACTTCCCTGGCCTGTGACAGGAAGGCCATGGAATCTTGCCCGGGGGTATTCAAATAAATTACCTGGCCCTCTGTTGCCTCTTTTTGCCTGCTTATTGCGGCTAGAATTTATCTTACATTTGGTGCCAAAACCCTGGGAAGGAGTGTGAGTGCAGGGCCCTGACCAGCCACCGATGGCTCCGCCCCCTCCTTCCCCGACCCGGGACCTTAGCCTGCTCTCTGCTGCATGGACTATTTTCTGGTGCATCCCTCAGTTTCCCCCGGTCTGCTTCCCTTCCTAACTCCGTTTCACCTGGTCTGTCAGAATTGTATGTACGTCCAGGTCTGGCTATTCAGCCCATCCGTTGCGAGTATCCGGGATACTCGCCTCTGGCCCTGTGGTGTGGGAGATGTCCCTCACCCAGGCTCCCAGGCCATCTCCCCTGACTTGGTGTGCTTGGGATGCTGGGCGCTCCTCTCAGTGGGATTAGTTGGGAAGTGGCGCAGACATGGGGAACCAGCCCTCGAAAGCAGAGGCTCAGACCCTGTTGCAGTGTCTCATTTCTAATTTGGCTACTCTCTGTTTGTTCTGGTAAGTTTGCAAATGGAAGCTAGTCTTTCTTTGCTGAGGCCAGGCCTCAGTATCCTTTGGACAATCAATCTCACTGGCCCCCTGAGGGAACTTTCAATTTTAGCCTCCTAACCACCTTGATTAATTATTGCCACTGGAGCAGAGAGTAGGGTGAAATCCCATATGTGCAGGCTTTTTGGACTTTGCACCCCCCGCCCAAACCTTTATGTAAACATTAAATAACTCAGGTTCTCCTGGCCTGATCTCCAGTTAAATATTGTCAGCCTCTTACTGTGCCCAGTCCTTCCTTTTCAGATCCACCAGAAAACCTCAGTCCCCTGCCTCCCTCAGCTCAGAATCCCCTCCCCCTCTCTCTACCACCATCTTTAAGTCCTTTCTCTTCACACGTGTCGCCTCCATCTTAAAGTCCTACATTCTCAACCATGCTGTTGTCCTGCTCTCCTCTTCCAGTGGCTGCACCACCCGCTCCCCATCTCCTTCCACCTTCACCGCCCTCTTCCCCCACCAGAACACGCTCCTCCCGCCCTCTAGTTCCAGAAGCCACAGACAAGAAGCTGAAGAAAAACAAATCAATTAGGTATCAGTAACTCAAGTCTTTATATCAGTTTGTCTATCTGTGTATATGTTTTTATGTAAAAAGTGTTGCTGACTATAGTCGTCGTGTCTGTTTGTATGTTTGTGTGTCTAGGTGTGTAAATGAAAAATATTTTCCTACCTCCAGATAGTATCAATAAAAATTGATTTAAAAACAAGCGCTTGTGAAAATTAGGCATTTTAAAACTTCCAGAAAATCTAATAAAAATTGTTAAGCATTAATGCTAATTTGAATTTGAATATTAAAAAAATTGTAATGATTTCTCTAATTGTTTTATGAAAGCAGTTTCTCAAGCTTAAAGTCTCAATGAATTGTCAGAATATTTAAGAAAATGAGATCTTAATATTAAAAGGACTAAAAGCTAAACTTTGCTAACTACTGTGCAACCTTCTTTATTTGCCTTTGAGGTATTTTGTTGTCATTCTGGTTAAATAGATAAGTATTTCTTCATGGCAACCTATAATCCTATTTAAGCAAGTGCCAAAAAACAAAAACCATCAAATTCAAAAAGGTACTTTTACCTCTAGTTCACTCTGATATTTTCCACAGGGCCCCTGGAACATGTCAGAAGAATTTTTTCTCTTCAGTGAAGAAAATATTTGGCTAATTTGGCTTATTTACCTGATATATAATTACCTACTTAATTACCTAGAAGGCACTATCAAAGGGAATAATGCTAAACTTTGTTACTGAATATTTTGTGTTACAGCAATATCCAAATTCCCTTATGTCAACTGTCTTACAGTAAGCTCTCATCAGATCTTTAACCATTGTCATTTGTAAGTCTTTTGTCATCTATATTCACTGTTTTATTATTCCTAAACTAGTAAAAAACTAGATTTCAGCAGAACAGGTATTAGTTACATAAGATTAAGTAAACTAAGGAAGATGATTTGGTGGCTTTTTGTTTCAAATGTTGTTGATAAAGTGTTTTAAGCTTTTTCTCTTAAGCTGACAACAGTTTAGTAAATGACTGCCTTTATAAGCAGAATTAAAACTTTATCTTTCTCTCTACCTGATCCCTCCAGAATTTAAAAACTCCTAGTAACTATTTTTATATTTCATGGCAGTATGTTTATTTGCACAAGTTCAATAAGAATCTGCTTTCCTTGTAAGAAGACCAATGAAAAACACTGGTTATATTACCAAGGCTTTGACTGGAACATCATACCAAGAGACACATGCATAAACTCGGATATGAACAGCTTTAAAGAACTAAAGTTAACTATATAAAGCCAACAAAGCCCCTTGGAAGAGCAGGCCTGGTACCTTGCTTACAGGGTTCCCAGCAGCCTGATGAGGTTGAGTGAGGAAGGTCACTTCCTGGCAGGTACGGGAACCTCAGGATGTCTCGGGGACCTCCAGAAGGGAGGAATTCGCCCAAATCCACAGGCACTGCAGGCACAACCCCATGGCTAGTCTGGCTTGGCTATCTGGCCTCGAGAGGCCTTTAAAAGTTCAATCTGAAATTCCTTACAAAAAGTTCCAGCAAAGCACATTTAAAAGAGCCTATGTAATCAATTGCTTTTCTTGCTGCACTTATGCAAATAATAAAGCCAAGTGTTAATTATTTTCTTAATCTAGCTACTTCTAATAAAAATAAGGGTGCTTTTAGAGAAAAGTATTGTTTCAATAATGCAGTCTTATCTATACTAAATCCTAATACTAGTCATTGAAATGTAAACTCAATCCAAAATTTTAGTTTCCCTGTAATACCTAGCTATAATTCTCAATTAAACTCTTCATATTTCTAGTTCTCATATTCAGCCATGCATTCTTAATCTCATCAAATTTATCCTTCCAGAATAAAAGTGCCAACTTTCTGAGGCCCTCTCAACTGACCAGTAATAGAAACCTAGCTGCACCCTTTACTGCGCCTCTTTTCAGCATGAAGCAGCCAGAGCGGTCGTCGCCCCTTTTCCCTAGCAGCAGCTAGAGTCTCTATCTGTAGAAAAGAAAATGAAACAAAAACCATGAGCTTGGACAGAGTGAAGTGAGAGCCTCTAGAAAAAGCAGAGTGAGATGTTTGCAGTCAGAGCAATATAGCTACATGCTACAACCCCCCCCCCCCCCCCCCCCACAACGCCCCTTGTCAGCCAAAAGTAGCCAGATCAGGTCGTTACCCATTATGACCAAAAGGCTGAAATGTTAAGGTTGAAGTCCACGGCTACTGCCCCCTCCCACCCTGAAAAATATGCCTTAGGCTAGCCAATCCTCGGGCCGCTGTAAATCTAAGCTCTGCCTCCCCCTACCTTCTTTAAAAATTCGCTGCCCGGTCTACTTTTGCGTGACTTCCCTGGCCTGTGACAGGAAGGCCATGGAACCTCATTCAGGGGTGTTCAAATAAATTACCTGGCCCTTTGTTGCCTCTCTTTGACTGCTTACTTCGGCTAGAATTTATCTTACACTTACTACGCTGATGGACAGTGACTGTAATGGAGTTTGTGGGGGGGACTTGGTGAAGGGGGGAGCCTTGTAAACATGTTTCTCATGTAATTGTAGACTAATGATACCAAAATAAATCACACCATCTCAAAAAAAAAAAAAAGGAACTATACCATCTACCATTGTTTAAGATATACCTCTTCTAAGATTACCCAAATTAAATTATTTCTGCCAGCCTTCCAATCTGTTAGCACGATCCCATACTTCCCATCTTGGGTGGATTCTCCCTTCCACTCTTGGGAATAAAGTGTGTGCCTTGAGCTTGAGAGAAAAGCAGCTTCCTTTGCTAGATGTTCATATTTTCTTGTGTAGCTGGAAGGCTGGTGCCAAGTACTAATTCTGACCCTGGCTTAAATGGTTTATTTGAGATTAAAGTCCAAGGCTTGGCCTGACACCAATCAGGAAACTCCTTGTAATCTGCAGACAACTTGGCAGGACTGGGATGTTGCTCCAGCTTTCTGAACAGAGTGAGAACAGGAAGAACAGTCCTTGTCCTACTTGGGTTTTTGTCAGGTTTAGAGAAGCCCCATGTAAGGCTCTGAACAAAGTGAATGGCACACAGGAGGTTGAAACATGGTGAGCTGCCTCCTGTAGCTTCCCAGGGATTTGATTCAATGAACTGAAGGACAGGGGATCATTTGTCATGGATGGGAACATCAATTTTGTAATTGTATGTATCCTTCTCATCTGCTCAAGTAGACTGGAAATTACTGCAGAACCAAAGCCAGCTATTTTTTTGGGTGCCCCAAAGGGTGATGCAGAGTGTTTTTTGTTTCTCTGCCTGGGATGGGATGGTTCTTGGGGACATAAGAGAAAGGCACACATACAAATGTGCTGGTGGTCTCTGTGGGTATGCAGAATGCACTGTTATGTTTTAGTGAGTAGTGCTGGCTTGGATCACACCAATGTTGTCCAGGAAAGCAGGGTAGGAGGCTCAGGCTAGATCCCTTCTGCCACCTCCTAGCTCTGTGACCATATCCTTGCTGCTTACCGTGGCCACCAGCCGCTCCCGGTCCTCTGCCTTCCCCACGTGGCACACAGTGCCCATCACGCTCAGCCCCTCCCCCTGCAGCGTAGCCACTGCCCGGTCCACGTTCTGCTGCTTCCGGCTGCTGACCACGACATGCGCCCCGTCCTGGGCCAGACGCCGGGCAATGGCAAAGCCGATTCTGAGGGCAGAGAGACAGACTGCACGGTTGGTGGGGTCGGGTCAGTATAGGGAAAGGTTGAGAGCATGGACTCTGAAGTCATATTGCCCCATTTGAAAAACAGCTCTCCCTCTGTATGACCTCCAGGTGTCTGTATTCTGTGTAAAATAGGGCTAATGGCCCAGACCATTCAGATGGACTTAGCACATCTTTGGCATTCCTTCACTTACTTTTCTTACAGTTTTGGCCTTCAAGCTAGGTTACCTTGTAGGTATTTGACATCTAGGAACTGACATTACTTTCCACAGGCCCCACCAAGGGGCAAAAGGTTCTGTAACTGTAGGGACTGAGGGAAGAGAAATGGCCTAGAGGTAAAGCAGCAGTCACTTCCATGATTGGAGGGTTTCACTCAAAAGAGCTCTTGCCCCCAAATATCTTCCTTACTAGTCAACATCATCTCAGAATTCTATGGCTAGTTATGTTTTGGGGTGCATGTGAAAGAGTGGGTCTCTGGTTAAAAATGTGAATTTTTTACATTACTCCCCTGGGAGTAAGGATTACACATTTTGCAACTGTTAAGCCATTAGCATTTCACATACATTTGTATTTTAGATTTGTATATAGCTGGCATCTAGCAAAGTTCTCTGGGAATGTGAAACAGGATAGATAGACAAGAATAGTGGGTGAGAACTAGGCTGGGCAAGGGGGCCAAAAGGGATGAAGCTAAACAAAAATCTGGACATGGGTCTTGTGTCCCATCTAGGTAAGGGGTGGGGTTCTGTGCGACTTGAAGGGGTGTCCAAATGGGGTGTCTAGAACATTTCCATAATCAATGGGGGCAGTGGGACAGGGTTTTAGAATTCTGGACTGTGTGGATTGCTGGTGTCTGTTCTTTGCAGACTCTAAGTGGAGCCAGTGGATTGGGGAAGCCCCAAGACTTAGACACTGGATTGATAAGGTTGCACTGGGGTGGCCAACTGAGCTAGAAGCAGCAGTGACAGAAAACTGGCAGCGCAGGGGCCGGAGGATTCGGAAGGTTGTAGGCGGACCACGTAATTCCTTTCTTCCGGGGTTGGGCTTCGCCCACGGGCCTGAGTACAAGGCCCGATAGGCAAAGGACACGGGACTAGTAGCGGGGTCTCAGAGACTCCAGTCCGGGCACTCACCCTTCCGTGGAGGCCGTTACTAGGGCCACCTTATTCGCGAGCGGCTCCCGGCGTGCCATCCCGGAGCTGGCCGTCCTCACCGACTTGCACGCCTGGGTATAGCCTCTCAGCAGCAGCCCTGCTTTTTGCATGACGCTGGTCGGCTCGGCGCCACCAAGGGGAAGTGATTGGACTCAGGCGATGGGCGGGCACTTTCCCTCTCCACTCCCAGTCTGCCTGCAGCCGGACTGCAAATCCATGCTATGGCTAGCGCCGCCCCCTTGCACCGGAGCCGGCTGATAGCGGCTGGGCGCCAACCAGCCCGCGGGGGCGGTTGTGCGAGAGCCCGTGTGTGCGAGAGCGGAGGGTGCAGGTTCTCTGTAGGGTCGCCCCGCTGCAGCAGCCCACAGACTTCCCAGCCCTCTCCCAACCCCTCAACATCTGCTTGCCCCCTTCATTCTTCCGGGGAGAGAGGCAGCTTTGAACTTGTTTTTACTGCCTAGAACCTCAAGATGGACCTCCTCCAAGAAAGTCTGGGTCGACGTATGTGTGTGACAGCCCACAGGAGGGCGTATATTTTGCGATTGTCCGTGGAGGTGAGGCCTGTGGTCTCCACTGAGTCACCATGTGAGGTCTCAGGTTAAAGTGGAGGAGCCTGGGAGAGAGACATGATAGGGAGCAGCTGTCTAGGCCCAGCACTGCCCTTCACTCTGGCTCAAGGTCTCCCCCAGCCTTACAGGGCTGGCAGACAGACTGATCACATGTGATAACCATGTGCAAGGATGAAGATCCAGACTGGACACGACCTCTTATACCGTCTACCCCAAGAGGACTTCCCCATAGTACAGAGCCTAGATGTTAGCAAGTGGACTAGAGGGTCCCCCAACCAGTGGTGCAAAAACAGAGAATTCAGGAGCATTCAATTCTACACAATCACCATGTCCCAGGTCTCAGCCTCCATCCCAGTTCAATAAATATTTGTTGAATGTAAAGGCTCTTTATGAACAGTAGACTACTAAACACAGAGTAATTATTGCTATCATAATTATTATTGCTACCACAGGCCAGGCATTTCTTCCATAAACTGAGGATGTGGGAGTAGATGATGAATTAAGACCTCTCCAGCTATAAATTCTGTGTCCAAGGCTTCAACCTCCACTTCTGCCAAGTGGGCTGAAATAATCTCCCTCCTGGGTTTCTGGGAGAATTAATAAATCTGGATGGCTTATGGTACACTGTAGAAAGGCCCCAACAGACCCAAGTGACAGTGCCTGCATTCGTCTAACCCATCCCCCAAATGCCAGACTGAGAAGTAATGCTGATCGATGGCTAAGTTTTCACTAATAGGAGGCAAAATGAGAAAGAGAAAGACAATATAATGTTTCATAAACCTAAGCTTATTTAACTTAACAGATAGGTCTTAATTCTGGGATATGCTTTTGCTCCCCCCCTCCTTTCTTTCTGATGTTAGCCTTTTTGTTAAGAAAACATGATGAAAGCAGAATGGTAGGTCGAGAAAAGCATTGTTGTTGAAATTACCAATTTGGCAACTGTATGTCAGTCCCACAGTTAGAGGAGAGAGAATCCTGGTCTGTGAAATTCAGTTCTGGGGATCTCTATTTAAATAGTAGAATTCATACTTGCTAAAGATGCACCTAGTGCATGTGTAGGTCAGCTGAGCAGCTAAAAAAGGATTTCAGCATTCAAAAGGGTAGCAAGTGGTATAAGAGTCATGCATTGGATTTAGAGTATATCCCTCAACCAAGGAGTTATAGCTGCAGTAACTCAGCTTTGGTACTTAGCACATCCTGATGAGATAAGAAAGCTAAAGTCTAATTTTCCTCATGTCCTAGGAAAACTGACTCTCCGACTGGTGTCCTTCAGTCTGAATCTCATGAATTATAGACAACATAGGCTGGATAGCATGGCACTCCTCTTCCTCTTCCCTTGTTCAAGCTAATGCACTGTGGGAATGTTACCCAGCGCTCTCTCCCCAAGTGTGGGGCTGGAGAGAGGTGTGTAGGAGGACTGACCTTTAGGGCATATCTCTTCTCTTTTCACCTCCTGCCTAGAGGTGGGCAGCCCAGATCCAGGGGCTGAGTTTGGGGTGAGGGTGGGGAATCTGTGAACAGAAAAGGGTAGAGAGCAGGCAAAAAGTGTGGGAAACTCTAGCTCCGACTCCTCATCAACCTGGTTTGTTGGAGATGAGGGTAGGAAATCTTTGGTGGAAATGCATGTGTAGGAGTCTCTTTGAAATGGGTACTCTACTAGGCAATGGGATTGTTCTTGTATGGAGGTGGTACCATGCCTCCCTAACTGAGGACAATGCTCCCATCTTTCCCAAGGGCTGAACTGTGGTCTACCTGGGATGGAATTTAAATATTGCATTTTGCAATAACCATCCCAGATTGGTGATTGACACAAGTCAGGATTAGGCAGTGTGGCAGGGCTGTTTGATATCAGCAACTCTGAACACTTACTAAGTGTGGCAAGTGTTGGGTGCTTTTCATAAATTTTATTAAATTTTTCTGGTCTGGTGAAGTAAGCATTTTTATTTCCATATGTGAAATTGTTTTCAGGCAACTGCATCTGGGGAGGTCTCTCTCTGCGCAGTAACTGAAACCTCAACTTGGACGGGGGAGGGTTCTTGACTCTGAATGACAAAAAATTCTTGAACAGGTCAGACCAGTGTAGATAAGGAAGGAATTCATCAAAGTGAGAGTAGCAACAAATGGCAGCTACTTTGCAGGCAGCAGAGAACAAGGAAGAACAGAGGGAGGAAAGGGAAGCTCACTGAACTCCTGCTCAGCATGGGGAAAATCCCTTGCCAACTCCTGAAGCCAGGGTCACCTGGCATCCGATGTCTGTTTGAATCTGCACAGCCTGGAAACCAAGTCCCTACCACCCCAGGATTGGGGAAGCCATTGAGCACGGATAGAGTGAGATTATGTTCTGAGCACTTCCGCTTCCCTACTGGTCTGGAATAAAACCGAGAGAAAAAAGAACTATGTTAAGACTAGAAAGCTGAATGAAATAGCAGATGGAGGTGAAGGTCACCGAGTTCTTGTCTTTATCATGGAGAAGAGTTCAGAGGCGAGTGCAATCAGCTTATGCAACAAGGAAGTTTGCCAGATGAGAGTGCAGGTGACCCCAGAGAGGAGGTGCACTTAAGGGTTTAGGGTTTTGGGTTTTATAGGGCCTCTTGGGTAGGGGTCAGCATAAGGCATGATGTATACAGGTGATGTGTAATTCCTTCCAAGTTTTGTCTTAAGAATAGGGTTATTTAGGTGACTGTGTTGTGGGGATCCTGACATTCTTTATCCACACAGGTTCATCTACACTTGGGAGGTCATTTCCTGTCCTGGTTACAAAGTTGCTTAATTGATTAAGGGGCTGGTAGAAGAGGAAGAACAGCATATAGATTAAGTTAAAGAATAAACTGGGCCTTTTTCTCAGGCTAAGTAGATTTTGCAATGGCATGACCCTTTGTATCTCAAAATCAGAGTGAGTCATGACAACCTGACCCGCTGTATTTGTTGAACAGGTATACTTGATTTTTCTGATATTCTTAGGGAATGACAGTTTTCATAGAAATTAACTTTTTCTGAACTGGATCTTTACTTTCAACACCAATGCATTTTTGTTTTAATCATTAAATATTGAGTCTTTATAAAAATAGCATATGTTCAAGATTTTAATAAGAGACAGAAGGCTATAAAGTGAAAAATAAAAAAGCACCTCTTCCCTGTGCTTCTTTTACCTGTTTCCCATATAGCTCTTGGTCTCATGTATCCTTCGAGAGGTTTTCTATGCATCTTCATGCTTTTTTCCATGAATTTTCCTTGGAAATGTTTTCCTTAAAAACATTTCCTTAAAAATGTTTCCATGAATAGGATAACATTGTCCAAATTGTTTGCTTCTTTCCTTTCCTCCTTCCCCCATTCTTGCTTTCATTTAAAAAAATTCATTCTTGTAGAATGTTCTGAGTTCTACGCAATAAATCTACTTTATTCTCTCTCTCCTTTTTAAAAATTGGTGTACAGTATTCCATTGTGTGGATATTCCATAATTTATTTAGTCAGTCTTCTGCTGATGAACATTTAAGTAGCTTCCTGTTTCAAACAATGCTATAATGTACAACCTTGGCTACATATATATTTTGTGTGATTGATGCAAATTCATTTGTACTCTGGGTCAAATGTTTTAAATTGACAGCTATGGTCAAATTACCTTAAAAAGAGTCTGACCAGTTCAGATGGATTTGTTTTTCTAAAGTGAACTTACCTGTTGTCCTACTCTCTTATACACACTACATACCATGGTTTAAACTCTGGTTGATGGCAGAAGCTCAGTACTAAATGGCGGCACAATACTTCCTGGCCTCAGTGGCTCAGAGTCCACAGGGACTAGAAGGCCCACTGACCTGCATCTTACAGACCTGAGGCATCCTCAGTTCCACGCTTGTTTACCACTGCAGATGCAGCTCAGTGCTGCCAGATCTTAGGATTTTTTTTTAAAGCAGAAGGCAGAAATCTGGATTTTAATATGAAATATTTGGTGTTAAAATGTTGGCAAATAATTTGCTGAAAGAAAAAAACAATAAAAACGAAAGCAATGAGTGGATCTGTAGGTGCCAAGGACTGATGCCATCCCTGCCTATTTACACACAAGATGTTTTAATTCTGTGACATATTGCTCTATCTAGAATCTCATAACTGCAATGTATAGCTTATTCAATTTCTGTTTTTTCAAGTTTTGTCCCCAGTTGCCCTGTATTTAGGTAATTGTTTATGAACACCATTTGGTTTCATCCATCTGGTCTTTGTACAGGAACTCTGGAGAGCAGCAGGCAAAGGGTTCTATGAAACAGGCATTGGCTTCTCTTTTCCTTCAAGCCTAGGATTGCTTTCTTCTGCTCTATTTAGAAAGGGGTGGTGGTGGTGGTGGCTGACCCTCAGTCTGTTTTCAGGTAATAGCAGGCTCCACCTTGGACCTCTGTGCTCTCTGCTGCTGGTCACTTTGGGGAACTACAGGATTATAGCCCTTGTGTGGCTTCTGCATGGACACTGAGATGCAGGCGTTGGGGCAGGGACAAGATGGGGAAAGTCACACTTCTCCACTGCCTTATCCTTTATTCCTCACTATGCTATTGCACCAAGAGATTCATTGAAGATTTGGGGGTGGTATGAATTACAGTATAGAGGGATAAATACCCTAAATAGAATGCCTAATATGACTTCCCATTGGGTCCCCTAGGGGCACAACCAAATTCCTAGCTCTGTTTTCAAAATCATGGTTCCTCCTTTGCTCCCTCAGAGACAGACATGGAGATGCAGAGTACAGCTCAGATCCTCCTCAGAAGGACTGTGCTGGCTACCAGG